GATTTCTCCCTTTCTGGGGGAAAACACTGTATGGGAAGAATGTAAGAAGTTATCATTCCTGCAATACAGGACACGCTGTGTCTAAAACACCATCCTTATAAAAGGATTCACATGTACCAATCTTAGGTGAACTCTTACCCCGATGCAAATTCCATTACTATAAATGCCACAGCCATTTTCTCAGTTAACGTACACATGATTTATGTTTTCAGCATTGTATTTCCTTATTTCACCATAAAATCTGCAAAACTTGCATCCCCATCCCCTTCCAAAAACAGAGAACTGCAAGAGGATTTGTCTTGCTTTGCCCACATCATCATCCCAATTGTCATCAGTTGCATTTCTGAGGAGATTTCATATCTTCTTTTGATTTGATCACAAAAGGGTTGACCACACTCACACATCTAGTGGTAAGCTTTTTCAGTGCTCCTGAAGCGGCAAACTCAGCATATGCTACTTAAAAACAAACAAACCCATCCCACAAAAAACACACACACAAAAAAAGCACACACAAACCCCCCCCAAAAAAAACCCAACACACACAAACTCCCAGCCACAATTAGAATTACATACAAGAAAGTAGGTTTTTAAAATAAAATTAAACTTCATTTGAGTGTTATTCAATCTGTTATGACAGCCAGATCAGCTGCACAAACTTTTGCTTGTCATTGTCCAACCAGCACAAAAACAATTGCAGGAAGTTAAGACAGTTTCCTCATGCTTTGGATATAGAGAGTCCTAATACTTTCTCAGTCCACAACTCTACCATATCTTCATCCATTTACTCTTCTTCCCTAGCCAAACACTCATACAAGACAGTCTTTTTTTCACTTGATATCATTCTGCATTTAACAAACAAAAGCCTACTGCATCTCAGCCCTTCAATGTAAGACAACAACACGAGTGTGGAACACATCTTTTCAGGACTAACAGTTTATGCAATAATTGTGTTTTCCTATCCATTCCCTTCCCATCTATGTATTCACTGAACAAGACCTCAATATGCCAAAGGAATGCCATCTAGACTTCCAATTTGACTTATTTCTAATCTATTCATCCTTCTTAAGCTAAAAATTAACTCCTGAAGCTGGGGGGGGAGCGGGGAGGGGGGGGGATCATTTCCATCTATGATAACCTACTCAGTACACTTCTGAGTTCAGGCTACAGAAAGATTTGCTCAGTAAGTTATGCAATTACTCCACATCCTCAATTACTGAATCACTGAAATATATTTGTCCAGCGTTTCTTTCATGACCCTATGTATTTTAGCATTCATTTTACAGTGAATGAAAAGTCGAAAACTCTACAAGAACTACTTTGTTGTAACTTAACTGCTAGTTTCAGTTTACAGGAAGAGAGCTGACTATACACTAACACAAGAGTGTTAGTTACACTAACACAAGAGGTACAACAGAGAGCTTCACAATTTCAACAAAAAACAAATACCCCTTCCAGGGATACCACAGTTTTGCTAATACATGAATTGCTGTCTAGTTATTCGCTGTCAAAGCATACTATTTCATATTCAAGTTCACTACCACAGTTCAAACATCACATCTTCCTCAAGTCACTGCCAGACAAAGTACTGACATGAGAAGTATGAAAGCAATCCTTCACTTCACATGCATTTTCATTTTCCAAAACCTTTTTCAATAGAAAAGATGCTCCGGTAATAAGTCATGTTCTTTATGATTCCCGGTGACCACGACGCACTTTCCTCAGGCCTTCTTCCCCCTCATATGATCATTGGCCTTTCCGTACTCCTACTAAGCTCCTTTGCCATTCCCTATTACTGCCAGTCTGCTACAATTGTCCAGCATTAACAGCATTATCCTGCATGACAGGGTAACAAGCTAGAAGTGCTTTTACTGCCAATGCTCCTTCTCCAATTGGTCAGCATTTCTAGTTCTCCTTAAACTGGATTTGCAAGCTGTGACGTTATCTCAGTACAAGACTATTTTGGTTCAACCCAGCACCTTGAAAGTACTCGGCTGAGAGCACACACAGACACATACCGTCTGACACAAGCAGATGGGCCCACTGCCTCTGCACAACCGACACCAGCTCCCCAGCACTCTACTCCCGCACATGAGGATGCGACAGATTAGCCAAGAGGGAGGCCACAGAAGTCAATGCAGAGTCTTAGCACGAGTTCTTCAGCCATACAATCCACAAAGCATCTCTGACATAAGCCAGGCATTCAGCGGCTTCTCCTGTTTTCACAAAAGCCAGTAAGGTGCTATTACAATGTTTTCATGTAAGCAGTCCTGAAAGGAAGCCCACAACTGAAATTCTACACATTTTACGCTAGACGGTTTCCTACAAAAGCCACTATGCCTCCATGTTGTTCTGCGCTTGCAGTTGTCAGCCATCATGGTCCCTGAGCAATGGGAGTATCTGCTGTGCAGACAGTGCAAGCTAATGGACAGATGAGGGGTGAGAGTCAGCATCCTCAGGAGCAATTTCATTCCATCACTGTTTAGAGGCACTAGCAGCCTTTTATTTATTTATTCCTTTCAGTTTGCTTAAGCTTAGCGTGTTATTTAAACTCAAGTAGGCTAGAGAGACCTTTGTGAAGGACTTAACCATCTTCCTACCTACACTTGCCAATGTTAAGAATTATCTGAGTGATGGCCAAGCCTGGAGAGACATTTACAGGCCTGCAGATACAAGGTTGCCAGAAAACTCAACTAGATTAGACACCTCACTGTCACTGAACTGAGCGGGTGAACAGACCTACCCATCTCAGTGTTTATGTAAATCACATCACTTCTTTTCATACTTTTCAGTCTTTATATACGAGACTAATTTCTAAGACTATTTGTGCAGCCCAGCATCAGCTGCAATGGCAGAAGTAAAATTCTCCTTTGCTCAACGTTCAGAAATCCTCAAAGACCTGATCGTTCAGCACCTTTTAAGACAAAAGGCGGCATGAAAATTGATTTTCTAAAGTTTGTTTCAAAAACGGCAATGCCTGATTTTTGGAGAAAAAAGATGCAAGTGTTTTTCCCCTCTCCAACTACAGTGAGATGACCAGAAAAACTCACCCAGAACCTCCTCACCAATCCAGTACACTTTAACTTGCATTACACAGAGTTCACGTTTGTTACAGCACCAAGGTTATCTGGGGGAAGATACTCAATAGTGAGCCAGACCACTCAGCACCCAATATCACAGAAATGTCTTCAAAAAGCCAGCAATTCCTGCTTGGTCTAACTTTACTTCTTTCCAGGCTGATTCATGATCACATATTTCTAAGCATGCTTTCATCCAAACACAGGGATGTGAATGGAGGTCCTGAAAAGGAGTTGGAACAACACAGCAACAGCTCCTCCCCCACACCCTAGCCTAAAGTCTCATTTCCCTGGCTGCCTACTCCCAGTGGAAGTCAAACAGCAAGTTTATTTCTGTCTTCTGGGTACCGAACAACCTACCTCACCTTAAGGTTTCTAACCTGTAATCCCCAGACAATTTCCAAGGGATTTACAAGAGGTAACTAAGAATGAAGTAAAGTAAATTGGCAAATCAGCCAAGAGCACACTGCTGTACTTGAGGCATTTGAGAAAAAGCTTTAAAAACAAAAACAAAAAAAACCAACCAACCAAAAACCAGAAAACCCCTTAATTTGTTTGTTGTGACAGGTACAACTGAACAGCACAAACAATCCTAAAGGGCAAGGAGGAAGATGATGGATGCGTTCAACTAAGACAGCATGCAAATGACTTAAAGAGCTGCAAATATTAGTTATCTGTACTGGACTTTTGTCTGGTTACCAAGACTAGACATCTTTCTAAAAGTCCCATACACATTAACAATATTTAAGATCTTATTTGTTTGCACTAGGTACAGTACTCTTGGAAATACTGTCTTGCACAGGATTTTTACACAGCTTAGCAGTTTGCTCAAGGCTATCACAAAGAGCCAATGGTAAGCAGGCAGATCTCAAGAGGGACCCCTGCAATCTACTTACTAGCTCTTCCAGATCTTCATAAAGCCATTACACAGTCGCACCTTTGAAATTAAATTCCATTTCCATCTCAGCTAAAAGAGATTTGGTATGGCATCTGGCAATAGTTCCAAAGTTAGGAATAAAAAACATTTAGACACAAGTTCCTATTCGATTCTCCTCAAAACAGCTACAAGGAAAAATGTGCATTTGTAACTCCCTTGAAGACACAAACATCAACGCCATTCAGACTGAGCTCTGAAGTTACAGTTTGTATGAGGCTGTTAAGAAACTGAAGTCTCTCAAGACAAAGCAGAAATTTTCAGGATCAGGGTTCAAGTTACTAAGATGCTGGATGTGTTTTGGCAGCTTCTTTTGTTCCAGACTTGTAATTGAAACAGCAGAGCCCCAACAACAGTGTCTTGCTGGAACACTAGGAAGGGTGGAGGGAACATGCTTCTGAGGTTAAAGTGCAACCTCACTGACAGAAGCAGTGTAGCCTGATACCAAGTTCTGCTATTAACCTAGACAGTCAACGAACCTTTGTTCACCTCCTTCTACTTCACTCTGAAGCATCCCAGACTGGCTAGTACAACATTCCCTTGTAGCACAAAAAGCTGAAATTACCCAGGGTTGCAGAAGATCTTCTTTGCAGCTCACCAGTCAGTTGTTTTTTGTAAGGAACCGGTGACCTCAGGGACTGAGCCCTGGTGGGATGCTGAGGACTGGACCAGCCACCGCTCAGCACTTGTGGATCACTCTGTCCTGCCTCTGCTCTCTCTGCCGGGGATGAAAGCCTGCCATCGTCTGGAGTTGACAAAAAGCAAGAAATCAACAGTTCAGACATGATAAAACTAGTAGCGCATGCAAAACTAAGGTTAAAAACCTGTCATAAATAGCTCATTTGGATTATGATGATACATAACAAAAGACACTAATTTTTCGTCTGAAAAGTACCATACAAAACATGGAAACAGGCCAGTATGTAGAATTTGTCTGTCAAGGCTCAGGCTATTTCAGGAATATCCGTGATGTGAAAAGTGTCTCAATAAACAAACCAATAAGCATGAATTATTCTTGCTATTTGGATTAGCTACACTTGATTATCAGCTTCTGCCCTGAAAAGTCTTTCAGTTATGTTAGAAGCCAGCACTGAGGTCACACTAAAGTTACCACAGCCTTTAATAAACCACTCTTTTCCATCAGAGGATCAAGTATAGACAGGTTCTCAATGATTCCAGTAACATGCCCGTTTCATGTGCTGTTTCAAGGTTGTTTTCCCATTCTTTCAACACAATACTTTGCTGACTCCAACTACATTTATCAGAGACAAACAAGTGAAGCCAATATTGACCGCATCTTATGCTGCTGTCAGTAAATTAATAATTACAGGTGATATTCTACTATGCAAACTAATAGCAGTCATACCAAGTAATTATTTTTTCATTCTGCATAAGAAGAGTCTGAACAGATCAGTTTGCTTATGCAAAAAGCTATCTTGGCCCTTTTCCCCTAACCCAAACATTGCAGAAGGATGCTTAGCAGAGCTGGATAATGAACAGACAAAACAAGAGCAGCTGACCAGTTTGCCACCTCCAGCAAAGAGATACACATTTTTTCTACAAAATCAAGGTGCATTCATTCACCACTCTTTGCAGTATATTTCTTTGAAAGAAAAGAGAAAAACCTCACATAGTTCTTTAAGAGCTTGTCTACTGAGAACATAAGTGTTTCATGATACATATAGCACAAAGGCCAAAATCTAGCAGTATTTTAATATACAAAACTTTCACAACTCTTCAGACCTCTTGATGGGGAACACTTAAGCCATGCAAATTAAGAGTGGACTTCCTGTAAAGACACTGCTTTATCACAGCTCAGCTGCCATCCAACTGAAGGTACAAGATACACAGGAAGGTGATGAGTGGAAGAAGCCTGGATTAAGAACTTGCATTGGAAGGACAGGCACACATTTTACTCATATCGGCCGGCAGAGGGTTACTCCTGCTTTGAGCCTTAAAAACTTCATACAGGCAAAGGAAACCCATATGCCCAGCTAAGAAGCTATACAATACTATCTGCTAACTGGCTTGTTTGCTACCTTCATGGGAAGCCACAAATTTCTAGCTACAAGATGCTGGCTATCTTCTCCCACAGAAAAGCTCTACGCCACCCAAAAGCAAGATGCAACATCCCTCACAAAAGAACTGACTCACCATCCATTTGGCCAGCCATCTGACATTATGCTCTTATATTCAGAGGTGTTTTTACAAGCTTATGTGGCAGCAGAGGGCATCGATAAAACAGACAGCACACATAATCCACACACCCACATTCCTCCAAACACTTACCTTTGCTGAAACGGAACAGATTTACAAAAGAGCTGTAGGCTGATTTAAAAGGAGGCTCATCCTGGTCAGGAGTCAGGGGTTTGAAGTGAGTGAGATGAGACGGACTGCTAGGAGAATGAGGTAGTTCACTGGTAGAGTCCAGTGTTGGAGACCTTTTGTCATCTGCGGCCATTTCACGTGCCCTGGAAAGAGTTCAGCAACATGCATTATACACAGGGTGGTGAAACAGAACATCTTCAACCAACTGAAGAGGCAGTGTCTCATCAGATGATAGAGGGGGAACATTCACCCCACCTACCACAGACATCTGTTATCAGCACAGGTCAAGAGTGCCCGAGTTAGGAGTCCACGTCCCCTACCTAGTCATTGGCAAGAGATCAGCATCTCTGCTGAGAGCAATTCAGAGCTCCTAGTTAAACATCCAGAGCAATCAAACTAAGTAAACAGCCACGACACCACCTGAAGTGCAACAATGCACTTCAGTTGTTGTTTTATGGGCACCGGAAGTTTTCAAATGAAGACTCTGCATGGATATCACAAAGAAGTTTTAACTTCAGCTCAAGAGGTGTCAATGCTGTGACTTCTGCAGCCCTTGCATCAAGAAAACAGAAGACAGGCATGCCTGAACAAGCACAAGATATACTTGTTGTTTGGCCAGGTTAACTTCCGAATCAGAAATAGAGTGAACTGCAAACACAAGCAGGACTGAAAGATTACGTTTGGTGGCACACAGCTTCCTTCCCCATTCGCACTACAATACAGGGCCTTGTGCAAGTTACCAGGGAAGCAACTCAAACTGTGGTTTCTTTGTTGTCATATCTAACACCTCAGAACTTCCTTGCTTTCAAAAGCAGCTACATGAAGGAAAAACAAACAAACAAAAACCAAACTACATTCTATATTATGGGAAGCCATACTAGTTCAGCTTACTTGTTGAGTACCAAAGCCTTCATACGGCCAAGAGTCATACTTTCTGACCGCCCATATTCTTTAACCTAAATACATACCTGATTTCTTCCACTCCATCGCACTAAGCCTGCACTTGTAGCCTGTTAGGCTAAGGTACTTACTACCGTCATCTTTGTTTAAGCAAGACTTAGTGAAACATTTGACAGAGCAGGAACATGGGAAGCTGATGGAACCTATGCCTGACAGCTGACTTTTACCTGTGCCAAGGATCAAAACCCTGTATGAGCCTACTTCCTGCTTAGCAGCTGATACGTGCTCCTTCGTGAAATACCCGTTTCCAGTTTCCACAGCTGCTCCTTAGAATCTACAGGCATATTTTGCTGACTATAGCATTTTTTTCCAAGTTCTAAGAAGCCACACTAAAAATCTATGCAGTCCAGAGAAAATCCACATGGTTGACAAGTGACACTGGAAGTGCTAACAAGCTGCACACAGCTCATGTGGCAAGGTTTGACCACTCCTACAATGAATGCGCAAAAGATGATATCTGCGAGTGAATCACATGACTTCTCAGTGGACTTTTGCTTGTTGCTCTGTATAGTATACACCTTCAGCTCAAAGTTTCTCCTGATATTCACATATCCTTAAGAAAGAAAACAGAGACACATCATTCACAAAGTTTCAAGAGAAACTTTGGTCAGGTTCTTTATGTAAGGTTGAGTCTTAAGTCTGAAATGCTTCCACATCCCTCTCCCCTATAAGTCATGTTGTTTTTTGCTGCTGTGCATTTCAGCAATATTATTCCAGCAACAGATGATTTGAACATGCTTAAACACCAGAGTTCATGGAAAATGCCTTCAAGAGCATACCTTCAGGTAAATTTGGAATTGTTCCTTCAATAGTTAAGGCAACTAATAACTTGCTATTTAAATGCTGAATGTATGACAGGGTTGTGCTTCCCTGCACACTACCACATTAGAAATACTGTTAGGAAGTCAACCAGAAGTTTTATAGGAAACTATGTTCACCTCTTAGCAACTGGCTATAGCCTGGAAAGACAAAAAACAAGGAAGTCTCTGAACTCACATACATCATATATATGATTCTGAAAAAATAAACTTTAGCTTCAAGGGAAAAAAAAGCACACTGTAATTGCTTCTGTGACAGCAGTACTGGTGTAATTAAAACAGATTGAAAAGAGCACTATACTTGGCATTAACTCCAGAAACACCTGGATCTTCTCTGCTCCACAACAGATTAGCTATGGAGTGTATCACCCTTTCTTAGAGTGCGTTATTTCTCCCACTAAAAGGAAAACACTCCCTCTACCCCCCAAGAAACAGGGAAATAGTCACTTATTTGGGTATTATGGGAAATCACAAAGCAAGGCACACAGATCAGTCAACAGGCACAAAACCAGACCACACCTTCCTCAGAATCCTTACCAAACAGCTACAGAGGATATATCTAAAGCCACTTTAGGGTGCTACATCTTCAGCAATCACCAACTCACCACTGACAAACACAGAGTGCACATATGGATGCGAACCTCCATTACCCGTTCAGCAGCTGCATCCAGAAGGGCTCTGTAACATCCTGCACCCCCACAAAACTGACCGCAACCGCCCCGTGCCAGAAGGGCCCAGGCACTCCTCCTTACTTGGATGTCACCCCCAGGGCACTTGGCTAACAAGCCCCGGGTGTGAGCAGTTGTAATTTAAAGGTAACTGCATGACACAGGCACACACTTCGCTTCCAACCTCAGCGCCGGAGCCAGGCGGGCTGCTTTGCTTTTCCCTCTGTAAAGGGGACGCCGCTGTCTCCCCC